GTAAATACCAAAGACCAATCGAACAACACCGCTCTGCACCTGGCCACTAGTAAAGGGTCGGCTCGAACATTCGAGATCCTTCTCTCTGCGAACGCGAGTGTCCAAGCGCGGAACAGTTATCGCAAGACGCCTTTGCATTTGGCAGCGGACAGCAACAACGTGGACGCTATAGATGCGCTCTTGGCTGCTGATGCAAATAAGGAATCTTCTGACGAAAATAAATACAAGCCCTTGCATTGCGCGACTCGTCGAGGTCGCGAGAATGCAATGCGCAGGCTGATAAATGCTGGAGTAAACGTCCATAAGAGAGATAAACATTTTCGAACGGCCCTTTCTATGGCAGCGGAATACAACAACGTCATCGGCATCAACATGTTGGTGGACGCCGGAGCGGATGTTCAGGCACGTGACGATTCCGGGTGGTACGTATTACATTGGGCTACTCGTAATGCTACAGTGAACGCTTTCATGCTGCTTTTGGACAAAGGTGCCAATATAGATGCAGAAGATAACGATGGTAAAACAGCACTGGAATGGGCGGCGTCGTATAATAACATTCGTGCCTTAAAGGCTCTCCTAAAAAGAGGCGCCGAAACAGATAACCGAGACGAGAATAAGTTCACCCCGCTGCACTGGGCCACAAAGTCTGGCAGAGATCGTATGATGCGAGAGCTGATCGAAGCAGGAGCGAAAGTGAATGATCGGGATAGATACGGTCGCACGGCGGCCGTGTGGGTGGCGATATACGACAACGCATTAGGAGTCCGAATATTAGCCGAGGCGGGCGCTGATCTTGAAATCCGCGACAACGACGGTTACAACCCTCTTCTTCACGCGACCACCCTGGAGCGCATCCACGCGCTGAAGGAGCTTTTGAAGTTTAAGTTAAATGTGAACGCTAGGGACAAGTCGAACGTGTCTGCTCTTAGCCTGACGGCGCAGAATAACAACGTGTATGGTGCTAAAGCGCTGTTAGAGGCCGGAGCAGACAAAGAATCAGTGGATAATTCTGGTTACCGTGCAATCCACTGGGCCGCATACAACAAGTCGTTGGACGTTTTGACGGTGCTGGTGAACGCCGGAGTGGACGTGAACGCTCGAGATAACACGAATATGACGG